TCAAGTATATTCAGAATATGTGTCCATTGTAATAATAATGAGATATAACATGATGATAATAATTTAAAACATTCACTTAAAATAGTTAAATATGAAAATGTATCAAAACGATGTACAGTTTCATCATGAATTCATAATTGACGAAAATCATTTACAATTGTTCGAAATTGTTTAGCTAAAATAAAATCATAGATCTTATATAAGCATAGAAATTTTAAAGTCAAATGTTTTTCTCTAGCTCATTAGTAATTAATGAATTGAAGGAAAGTTTTATCTTCAAATTAATCGATGATATGTTACTATCATATAGATTATGATCAAAGCTTAAGCTCTTTTGACTTTGATAGAAATCAGTTTTTATCTGTTCAGTTAGTCTCTTATTCCTAAAGTTTCAAACCGAAATTTTTAAATAAATCATAATTGCTGGACTGTCGTATTCATGTCTATAAATACACTATTATTTTGACTCATTACCATTTCCCATAATATGCATAACTACATGAAGATAATCGAATGCAAGAGAAACTAATGTCATATCGATTTGATCACGTCATTGTTGAGTATTAGTTAAAATTCGAAGAAGAGTTCTAAAAAGAAAAACGAGAATAGCAGTTTTTAAATTACAAATAAAATCCTTTCGAATACTTACTCAGTAAAATTTTCATGTCATGTTTCATTAACTGACGATAAAATCTCATTCCATCGTGTTAATATAGCACTTTCAGTTAAATTTTGTACAAGACATCGAAGTATTATATTTATATTGATTAAGCATCGATTTGTAGATTGACAATTTGACGTTCTAAGAAAAATTTTTAAACTACAGGAAAATTTTATAAATAAAAACAAGGAACCTTTCTATTTACTAATGCTCGAAAAGCAACAATAAATGAATCAATTGGTCGTAATTCACCTGATGATACAACATCAAATAGTGTTAATTGTATTGAATAAATATCCAAAAGCGATTGACCCTATTTGAAAAGAAAAAGTAACGTATAATAGAAGATTATTAAAAAAGAAAAATGCCCTGAGATAATCCAATAGTAAAATGTGATTTTAAATGAGTAAGAAGTACATTGAAGATTTGTCGTGAAAGATGTTTCCATTTATCATCTTCAATTCAAACACTATTAACAATAATTGTTAACAATCGTAAATCCTATAACAATATAAATTCTATTACTGTTTTTTTTTTCAGTACATACCATGATATGCAAAGATATAGTTTTCTTTCAAACTTTTTATTGAGATATCTTTTATCAAATACATAACTGAAGATTACTGTCTCGAAATCTTCTTGAGTTCTGGACACCAACAATATGACTATTTTCAGATCATCGATTCATTGAAGTGTGAGTGTGGGTTCAATTGAGGAGAAAAATTACACCTACACACCCACCTTCTCGTCTTTCTATGATATCTGAGACTTTATAGAGTAACATATTTTGTTCACTATCATTTAGTAAAAATTTTAGGAATTTTAATTATTCGCATAGTGACTATTTCTTATATCGAACAAGTTTAAAAAAGGTATGAACAATCACCATTCGTTATGCTTCTAATTCTGTACTATCTGTGTTAACTCGAACAAGAAAAAAATCATATACAATTGGTTCTAATATTGCTAAAGCTAAATAAAGAATTTTAACGATATTTTTTTTTTCTCGAAAACGTTCTTTTTTTGCTTCCTACCATGTGCTTCAGGTTCATGTTCACTTGCTAATAATTCATCACAATTTTTTAATAAATCTTGTATTTTAATAACTTGTTTTGAATGAAGGTATCATGTGATAATACATCATAACCTGCTATGGTTTCTTCAATCATTTCAAGTTCATAGACTATATGAGTAAGAAAATGTTAAACGAAATGATTAGAAATACAACGAACTTCATCAACATCTAATCAACTATAATTAACACGAATTAAAAGTAATTGAACAAGTAAATCGAGTACAGCAGCTTGAAAATCACTTTCATTTGTATTAATATATTTTTTAAGACTAATTTTTAGTTAAATAAATACTGTAAATTAGACAATATATTTTATACATAACGTGAACCAAATAAAATAAATTATCAGTTGTCCAATACTTATTGTATGAATATAAGCTAAAGAATTATTTAATGATATTTGTGAAGAAATATTTGAAGTTTTTGTTTCAGCAGACGATGATGAAACGATTACTAGTTTATGAAGATTTAATAAAAACTAAATTAAAGGAATTTTTTTAAAATAAATGTTGTGATAACAGAAAAATTGATTTTCAAAACTTTTTGCTGTTTTCTATCCTAAGATACAATTTTGGTAATAGTGTATCTTACAGATCGCTCACGTCAATCAACTAGTTTAATATTCGGATTTCAACAAAGAATCAAATGAAAAGATCTGACACTTTTACAACAAACTACTCTCGTTACGATCATCGATATTCGCAAAATCAGTTTTTCTATTACTGTAACATTCTTATATTGAAAAATTTTCTTCTCTAGGAAAGACTCTTCCAAAAACCTTAATTATAAGACTTTCATCTAAAGTTTTATCCGTAAACAAGTTTCAGACCTAATACAACATTTTAAAGGTTTTAGCTTAAACAATGAATAAAAAAGATTAATAATTGAAATTTTCTTTATAATAAATACTCATTATTTAAAAGAAATTACTTCTTGTGTAGAAATAAGTCTTAAACCTGATTTCGTAGATAATAATGTTGTTGAAAATAATTGTCGAAAACGATCAATTTCAGATGAATTTAATAAACTTGTTTGTATTTGATATGATGAACGTATTAATTCGAATAATTTCATCATTGATGGATTATTTCCAAAAGTACCTAATTGTGTACGATTAACTTTTTTTTATCAAATATTCTTCAAATCGAAATGCATTGAGACTCCTTTCCTCTGTGAAAACTGAAATATCAACTATAGGAAATTATCTTCTGCCCAAAAAAATGATGATTCTGAATATTTTTGCAATTATTCGAGAATGATAATAAAACAGTTCAATTTTCGAATTACTTGAATCATTTGTACCACTTTCAAAACATTTTTTCATTTGTTGAGATTTGATTGAATCTTCAAATGAAAAGAAAGAATTCAAAAATCATAAAATCTTTTTTTCTTTTTACTTGAAAAGATTAAATTAATAATATCGAGTAATAGTTATTAATTATTAAGATCATGTAATATAAATGGATGTATAAGTAAACGAAGTTCATCATATTGATTATGAAAAAATTGGTCTAATTGTTATTGGTCTTAAAACATTTGAAAGAGCATAAATACCTTCTA